CACTCCCGTCCAACGTTAAACGCGTGCCGGCCCGTTTAAAGGTTATTCCACCAAAATGAAAATAACACGGCGACACTGTCACGCTGTCCTGGCACCTGTGTCAATCCTGATACTGTTGTGCAGCTGTTCCGATTTAGTGTCGTCACGGTCGACGCGTTCCGTCGAACATCCACAAACCGACGCGGACACCGCGACGGCCGCCGATTGCGAGCACGTCAAGCCGTTCTTCGAAAGCAAGAAAATCACGATCGTCGCCGCGAAGCAGAATTCACCGGAGGACATCGCTAAAAGTAAGTGATCGGCGGAATTGTAAGGTTAACACGTTGACTGCCGTGGTGGTCACCGGTGACCGGAGCTTCCGAATTGCTCGAGAACAATTACGATAAGAGAATCGCTATTGAATGAAAATATTCGGTAATACAAGAGGCTACATAATAGTGTAATATGAGCACTGACTTGCTTCAGCAATGAGAACGTACTTGCTTCGGCAGTACATATACTAAAATTGGAATATGAGCACTGTAATAAGAAAACATTAATAATTATTTCGAATACTATTTTCCTCTATTATAAAGGAATACATCTTGCTGTAAAGAAACGCTCGAAATTCTCGTGGCAGTCAACGTGTTAAAGGATCAGTAGAAATTGATTAGTAGAAATTGTCATGAATAAAACGTTTGCTGCTTTATTGACACTGGAACGACCATTGAAATTGACTTTTTGAAATTACTCCGTGGAAACGCCAGGCGTGCAGCTATTGAGACTTTAATCCTTTGCACTCGACGATAGTTTTAATTACTAACATTCATTAGTTTCTGATGAAATATTAACACTTTGCACTCGGAAGTTTTTCGCTGGAAATATTTTAATATTTTCGATATTATTCTATTTCAATACTATTTTATTTCAATGTTTTTCAAATTGATGCGTTATATAAGGTATAATATTAAATATCAAATTTTATTGTTTTACTGTATGAAATCAAATGCACTTGAAATTTTTTCTACAGAAATATGTTATTATGTTATATAAATATATTATTTCGATATCTTATATATCGATTCATTACACAGATCATAATGTTACATATAAGACGATAACTTTGCTACATCAAATCTGGAGTCACCTCTGGGATAAATCATTGAATGTTCGATCTTGAAAATGAATAGTTTCGTATCAATACTGTAACGAACGTCTGAAGAAACTGTAAATAATTTATTATTACAATTTTTATAGAGATTAGACGTTAATCGTATCAAATGCTCGGTAGTTCTAATGTTAAACAATAGAAAGAAAGGAAAGTACGCAATGATTTCTTGCTGTTCGAGTAATTAACACTAAAACTACCGAGCACTTAAACTGACTTTTTCAAATTCCCTTATACGAACTACAAGAGTGCATCAATTAAGACTTCAACTGATTACCAATTTAATCAGCGCATTGCTACATCAATTTCTTTATTAATTCCTTAGAGAAACAGTTGTTATCTAATAATTGCGAAAAGAAAAATTCAGAAATGGGTCATTTTGAACCGTCTGGTAGTTTTAGTGTTAAATCATTTGTTTGCGACTTAGTCTTTCGAATACGAAAATTTCACCTCGCCGAAATGTCGACGTTCGTCCGCGAGGGGTTAACATTTCGAATTACCCTCTGCGAGGACTAGTCCGAAACTGTTGAAGTTTCCATCGGTTTGAAATGAAAGAGAAATTGTTTGGGGCTCGCTGGGCGAAATCAATTAGGTGTCTTGATTGTTCCTAACCCCATCCCCGATTCTAATTACGAAATTTGTTTAGTGGCCCTCGAGAGTCGTTACGCTAAACGGTACTTAATGTTATTACGTCAAATAGCATTTAGGGTACTTCTTGCAAAAACCCGCCTCAATTGTCGTGAGACCGATAAATCTGGCGTTAATCGTGGCCATCTTTTACGCTGCGCTCTAAAAAGAGACCGGCCGCCGTTGGGTTATGAAATGCTATCCGAGAAACACGGTTTTCCTGGGAGTTAGCTCGAAATACCGGCACGCACGGGAAAAACGATGGGAAAATTAGTGTAACGATTTAATCGATATCTCGTACTTTATTGCTTTCATTTTTCCAACACGCGATCCGAGGGTGGGATGATAATGCGACTTGACAAGTTACGATGATCGTGCGAAACGAGAATCGAACGAGATCGTAAAATTATGTGAACAGCTTTTAAATAACAGTTATTTTTCTGTTATCTGTTCTATGGTAGAGAAATGTTAATTCTAATCTTTTCATTGAAATTCGTTTCCACCGATTTTTACGTGAACGAAGATTCGTTCATTTTCACGAACAATAAGTTTCGACGATTTAGAAGTACGTGGTGTTGCTTGCTTAATTGCTTCACTAAATACGATTACTTAATGAACTGTCATGGGATAATTTAATGCCCGAAATTCCGGCAACATTTTTCGCCCCACTTGTATTAGTTCGAGTCTATCGGCAATTAAGAATACTACACCGTGTCGAGTACTAATTGGTCAATCGCGTATGCAAAGTTACGTTACGGGATTAATTAAACAGAAATTTAATTTCGCGAACAGTTCGAACGAACGTATTGTTGGGGAATCGTGCAATTTGTTAAAAGTTTGCCAGAAGTTGGAAGCATTGTTGATCACTGTTTCCTAGGAAGCTTAATTAATTGGGTGCCGATGGAACTGCTGTTGGGATACTTCTTAATATATGGCTATATCTCGATTAGTGGATTCATCTGCAATAAAGGGTAGTTAAACACTCGTTTCGTTGCAGCTGACGTTTCCAAATTCACTACTAATTCCTAAACTATTATTTTTTCAGCCTACATCTATCGAAACCTTTCTAGTTTCGAACGTCACTCACACTCCTAAATTTTCCAACATGTACAAAAATTATAAATTCAATGTTCGCCAATTTGAATTTACAAAATGATCAAGAAGTTGCACTATCGAAAACTTAACGTCATTCCCCAAAGTCCTTAGATAAGATCCTTTCACATAAGAAATTCCCCAATCTATATCATGCTCTAAAAATCCTCTAAAACAGAATCTTTTACCCAAAGAAATCTTTCAAAAAATAAGTACCTTACTTCCACGATCCTCTATATACATATACACAAATATAACGAAAATAATTATACACCTGTATATATTGATACACCCAGCATTGAATGCTAATGGCGCCATAGTCTTAGAAAGTTCGGTACATAATCTGTGTCGCATAAGCGTAGCATCAATTGTTCGTGGCATAGAATAGCAACGCAATTGAGTCGTTTGCGTATGGAGAAAGTCCGCATATCACGAACAGGTTTTGTCCTCGTAAAGACTGCGAAATCGAGTCGTAAATGGTATTATCCGCGATACCGATCGCGTGCCGATTTCTGGAGCGCGCGCGCTATTACTGGTCGCGAGAGGCTTGAATGAACGAACCATTCTCTCTCTCTCCTCTCTCTCTCTCTCTTCCTCTCCCCTCCTCTCTCTTGCTCTCATGCTCTTTTGCTCTCTTTCTTTCTCTCTCTCTTGCTCTCTCTGTCGGCACGATCATATCCTAACCCACTTTACACGTCTGTAACCACTTGTCGAATCGAGGGCGAAGGGTCGCTGATGTAGCTTCCGGTTTTATGCGCTTCCGGTTTTATGCACTTCCGTACGTCAAGTACTGTACATCACACCTAACCGAGCAAATGGATAGAGATAATCGTCCGCGGTAGCCTCCAATTGAAGTACAATGGCCGTTAACGTTCTTAATTCAAGGCGACGAATTATGTGGCCGCCGAATGGCTTTGTGACACTTGTCTCAGCCCTTAATTCGATACCTCGGATGCCCCAGAGAAGTGAGACCCTCGCTTTGTATCTAGCAACGACGCCGGTAGCTATTTCGACAAGGTTGGATTAGTTTCGGACGTTTTCCGCTTATAATCCCGTTGTATCAGTCTTATGAACGGTTTGATATGGTTTTCGGGGGTGTACCGGTGAGTACAATGGCACTTTGATATTTAGGCTAATTCGGATTAGGTATGTCCTCTTTGCATCTAATTATGATGATAGTTATTTCAACGAAATTGGAGTAGTTTCGAACATTATGCGCTCCTAATCTGGTTGTAGCGATCTTTCGAACACGCGGTACTTTGATATTTAGGCGAACTCGGACCGGCAATCTCCTCTTTGTACTGAATTATAATGATGGCAGTTGTTTCAACGGGATCGCGTTAGTTCCGAACATTTTCCGCTTCCAATCTGGTCGTGTGATCTTTCGAACACTTTGATAGCGCTTTTCGCGTGTAATTAGTCAGAATGATTGATGGTTTAGCTAAACTCGCTTTGGCAAAAACTGTTTGATCAAGCGGACCACGCGATTACCATAATAATTCACTTCTTATACGCGCGGCACATATTCTTTGACGCTAACGATAAATATAATAATGAGGATCGCGCAAGAAGAAAATGTTAATGAAAAGATTAATGTTCGTTCCTTTACAAAGTGCGGAGTATGGAAATTAAACGGTGATTCGGGGAAGCGTTCGAGCGATTAGCATTTCCAATTGACTTCGTTGAGAAGTGATATTTGTTTAAGTTTCTTTGTATAAATTATTGCAAGCTTTATCGATGAATCGCGCAGTGTCGATTAATTCGACAACGCGAAGATAAAGGAGAACGCGGTGCTTGTTAAGGAGCCGGGAACAACGGAAATTTTGCTAAAAGGGAACCGAAAAAATGGCGCAACTGTGTCAGACGATTAATCCGAAAATTATGCAAACACGGACACAGAACGTTATATTACAGACTCTGCAGATACATTTATGCACGTTTATCTTGACACGCGGGTCACGTTGCGGTAATAAAAAATGGAACAATTTGCGATGAATGCGTTCATTATGGTGCGTTTAAACGGAAACGGGGCGCCGCGCGAAAGCGGAGAGACATTTAGCAGAATCGTCGACGAGTCAGTTCATTTCTCTTGATAATCGATACGATCATTTTGATGCATGTTATGAAATATCATTTTAATCTCGGTTAATCGGTTCATTTTATTCGAAACTTTCCTCGACGAAAAATGACAAAGTGGCGCGTATAAAATAATCAGTTTTACGCGAAACGAGTTTCCAGACGTGGCCACGTAAATTAAACAGAATTATCTTACTTGCTACCTTGTATCGCGCAGAAGACGTGAATTATAATAACGATACGTTACGCGAATGTAAATGGGTTGAAGCAGCTCCTACAATTACGGGCATAAGCATCGTGCATGCGGAATATTTTAAATTTCATTGAAAATATGAACACTTATCACGT